ATTATACCGTGTTACGGTAACGGAAATCTCCCGCGAAAACTTCCCGCGAAAATTTCCCGCCTGACCTAACCGACGATTTTGCTAATGACTTTGGGGAGAGGGTACCGCAGGTATATAAGGACCCGCGGAGGCTCCGCGAAATCATTCACCCTTTATACTGGGCCATAGACACTTCGCGGCGTATTTTGACCTGAAGGTTCTGAGATGTGAATAGAGTGGTCGGGGGCTACTAGCTAGCCTAGGTCCACCCTGTACACACTCAGCCTTCTTGTAACACTTGTATACATTAGAATCAATTAGAATTTCAATACAATAGACTGAATAACAATTCATTTTAACTAATACCTATTAGAAATTTTCCTTTTAAAACAAATATAAATCATTTTACCAATTACTGGTACTTGCTAGACATTTAATATCAGACTTTAAATATTCTCCTTTCGGTTCTTTTAAATACAATCAAATAATTTCTTCAATTATCGATACTGACTTGGAATACTCCGCTTCGAATAAAATATTTCGAAATTATGTTGAAGGTTTAGGGAAATAAACATTTGAATTTTAGTCATCGTTCTTCTTCAGACTTGTCGAATAGGATATTGAAATCACTTTGAGAGGTTGCTTTTTCGTTACAGCATAACAATCAATATGACTTTGCTTCCAGCAACTGAAATTAATTTGAAATTTTTCATATATTTTCTCTGATATTGAATTTTGTTTACTAATAATTTACCATCCAAGGAATTTGCATGAATTGCATGTTAAGTAGTTAGTTGATTTATTATTGTATATTGTGAGCTGATTTGGAACGAGTGCACTATGCCCACCCTAAATTAAACCGTCTCAGTAGTTTACCGTAATTAATAATCTATTTTCGGAATTTATACGAGAATTTTTGAATTTTAGTAAATACTAGAGTCAGTGCATCGCGTATTGAAATAATAGCTTCATCCCTAGTTCGTTTATTATTGAATATTTTTACGCGTTTAACTTATGCTTCTCCCCAATTCTCGTCGCGTATTTTATTCAAATTTTCTTATATTCATTCTTTCAATTTTTCACTCGCGTTCTACGAAAGTTTAGTTCAATACTAATATTGAAAATAATATAAATTCGCGATTTCTCCCTTTCTGAATAAAACTGAAATAAATCGCGTTTCGAAGTACTTTTCGCCTTGTCCATTCCACAGTGATTCACACTTTGTGAGTTCGTGAGTCTTGCAAAATAGATCGGAATTGGGAGGAAGGAAGGAAGGATGACAATCTGAGGAAAGAGAAAATGCAGTGAAATCCACGTTGCAGAGCTCAGCTGTTTAATCAGCGAACAGTGAGTTACAAAAATGGGTTTTTTTCCTGGTGATTTGGTTTAGTAGTTAGTTGTATTGTGTATTGCCAG